TCTCCAGGGCTGCACTTTCGTGAGAAAGAGGATCACCCGGCACCATCGCTACTATCGAGTAGGTGTTGCTGGTGGGTCGCAACACAAGCTTCTGGGTCATCAGGCCTAGGCCCTTGAGCCTAGACGTTCTGCCCTCGCAGAGTCATATGCGGCACACCTGACGCTGTGTGAGTGTAGGTGGGAACAATTGAAAGAGCTGCTTTGTAAAGAATGGAAGAAGTTGTTAGTATGTCGGTGCGCCACCGCTTCTGTAGGCAGTACGAAGGCGAAGTAGAAGGTAGCACTGCCATGGGGAGCAGGTTGACTGAGGTCGAAGCTGGAGGCGGAGAGGACAGGACTCTTATACAGGGAGCCCGGGTAGTGCAAACGCAGGCAGACGCGCTAGCCTGGTTGGGACTGGAATTCATTGCTCACCATTGCCCGCACGAACTGGACCGCCTCTTGCTCACCGTCTCTCGTTCGTAGATGCGACAATAGCGATTTTGAAATTGCTCGATCCACCAAGCTGTCACCAGATATTGCCACCGCCATGGCTTCTGACCGACCTCGAGCAGCCAAACGAGAAGCGCCTTCGTCCCAGCGCTCCGGACATCATCACAAGAAGCCCAAGACGCTGCACAATGCAGCCGAGTTTCGCGACAAAAGGGCGTCCAAGAAGAAGGGCAAGACCGACTAGAAGATAAGAGTGCAGGAGGCCCCCAAGGCTCGCTCCAAGCATTGAGATAGCTGCGAAAGAAGGAAGCGTGAAGTGTCGTATTCGTACTGTTGTTATCACCAAACAGTTTATTCTAACGTTTGAGCCCCGTGTCAAGAACCAAGGCTTATCTCAGGACACCGTGTTCGATTTCCTGTTGAAAAAGGAGGCAGCTTGAGCCGCTTTGGCCGGCATTGACGTTGAACATAGGCGAAGGAACGCATGTGTAGATAATGAATACATGATCTTACTGTATCGTTATATCATTGTAGTCAGACGCGTTACTGAATACTGGAAAGAGGCAGAAGAACACTTTGGATGCTTTCAGAAAACCGAGACGCCTACATCAACGTCGTTACTATACTTCGCGCACTTTGTATCGGTGGTGCGTTCTGCAGAAGGTTCTGTTCAGTTTCTTCCGAGCATGAGAATGTGATGGGTAAACGTGATGGGTATTCGTGAAGTGTTTGAATTACTAATGACATCGTACTACTGTGTCATACTACCCGCCGCCTGTCCTTTTGCTAGAATGTGGTATAAATAAGAAAACATGACTTGCATGTACCATCAAAGAGAGTCGTGAAGTGCCCATAAGGAGATAATAAAAAGGTATCGTAACGCCCGAAAATGCTCACACCGTACAAATTACCCACACGGTCTACCACTTGAGGCGATCGAAGAGGTTGCGGCTCCTGACATCCCTCTTCTTGCTACCACCGGGCAGCGCACTTGTGCAGTCGATCAAGTCTCCCTTGTTCTCAACACCGAGCATGCTCATCTTGACCATTGCGCTTACGAATGCTGAGTCCCACATACCCTTGCTGGCGGCAAAGGCGATGAACGGGCCGGCAGTAAGGGGGTTCTGTGCAAGGCTCTTGTCGGAAGGGAGTGTGAAAGGAGCCCTACCACGCATGGTCTCGGAGTAATATTTGTTGTCCCAGGTGCCGACAGTGGAGTCGAGGGCAGAGCCAGCTTTAGAAGGGTCGGTGAAGCGTTGTTTGGCAGCGGTGTGGGCGCCGATGAGAGCGGCGAGGTCGTAGGGTGAGAAGCCTTTTTGCGCTGGGAAAGCTGTTAGCTATGAACATGTTGAAGACTAGAGATGTATGCTTACCAAAGAGCCCGACTAAGTCTTTTGCATTGGCGTGACCACTAGGTAGAACACCGAGAGCATTCGCCTCGCTGGAGTCCTTGCGGCCAACCTTGACGGGAATAGTGGGTCCTCCAGGACATGTCTTGACTGCATGTGCGGCGGCAAATTGGATCAGATCGGCAACACCGACCTTGGTCTGGGAGGCGACATTGGCAAGGTTACCGCAAAGGCGCTCCATACCGCGGTTCTCTTTGTTCGAGCACTCGTTGGCGAGGATGAGAGAACCGTCGCATGCGCCGTTGAAGCAGTCATGGAATGAAGATCGGATAGCAGCGCGCGCAGCATCTGTGCATTGGCCGTCCCCTAGGAATTGTTGGGTGAGGGTGGAAGAGATTTGAGTCCAGACAGCAGGGCATTCTTGCGCAGGTTCCTTGCCGCCGCCACCGAAGATGCCGTCGAATATGCCGAAGATCTTTGCAAGAGTACGCTTCTCTTGTACTGGCGCTGGTGCTGGGACGGTCCAGTCTTCTTCCCGAATGGTGTAGTTGGAGTAGGCCTGGGCTGTGCTGGCAGCCGCAAGGCCAGAGATAAGGACGTTGCGAATATACATTATGTGTGAAGAGAAGATAGTGGTCCTATCGAGTGAGTGTATAGTAGGATGAAGAATATGATAGGATAGGTGAGAAGTGCCGAGAAGCGAAGAGCGAATGACTGTGATGACCTGAGATGATAATGGTAAGAAGAGAGCGATGAACATTTCTTCTTATACACTGTAACATGTTTCTGAGAAGCGGCAAGAATAGCAGCCGCGACTCATGCTTACATCTAGCACTGTATGAGTAGCTGTCTCCTCTGACCCCGATTCCCATGGGTAAGCGTTGAGGAGAGGTGCTGGAATAGATGTGACAGGCCGCTAGAGCAATGGTGAGGAAGACCCACCACTACTGTTTTGGGAGTACGGATATACGCCACTATGTGACCGGTGGAAAGCTCCTGCTTGAAGCGTGACATGTTTTAGCGAACATGCCAGTCATGCTCAAGCTTACGATGTAGTTCCCGGTCATTCACCTCACGAGATGTGGTGCATCTGCTAATGGTCGTTGATCATTGTGCCACAATTCGCCAACTCTGCGTGGCGATCATGTAGTGGATCTCACTCGCAGCAGCTTCAGAGTCATGAGATGCATGCAATGCTGCCGGTACTGCATTGTGCTGAACAACATCGATACTGCTTTGCAGAGCCTAACCCTCCGATGAACGTTTTCTGGTGTCGCATTAGCAAACGGACCGTTAGTTTGGAAGGTGATACCCCTTTCTGTCGAAACGAGGGAGTTCTAAAGAAAGATGTGGGGGTGTTGTTTATTGTTTCAAGACAGCTTCAGACTAGTGAACGTGGAGGAACTGCAGTGCCGATAAACGATGATCAACACGGCCCCGCGGTTTGGGCCATGGACGCCCTGCGTTTGAGGCGCAGGGCAGGGCTTGAGCCTGACCATATGAAGTCTAGAGTCGCGAAGTGGTTGATAATGGGCTAACGTTAGCGACTTGAGGTTCCTGGCATCGGTGCGGCTAGCACGTGTCGCGCATGTTCGCTTCGCCTTCGGCAGGTAAGCTTGTAACTAGATACTGCCGAATGGCAATAAGTCTTTGTAAAAAGAGGTTGATGGAGCTCTTTCGACGTTGCCAATTGATTGAGTAAGGTGGAGACTGAGATCCGTTCGTGTTTGCAATCCTGCGCTTCGGAGAGGGAGGGCCGCATCGTAGCTCTCGCGCAGGGTCTTTGTTGAGCCCTGTCAACTGTTAGAGATACAACCTGAACTCCACAACCAATTATCTCAAGCCCAATAGTCGGCTTCCTGTTTGACGATGCGATAGCGCTGATGGTGTTGCGGACATGCATGTCGGAGACCCGAAAGTGGAAATCCCTATAAGGATAGTCCAAGAAGGCGATCCTCTAGCGAAACCTTCTCTTGCCGAATTGCACCCTTGCAATTACTCATGACCCACCAACTTCGCGAACGCAACTACGCTTGCGACTCAAGCCCTCTGCGTCGGGCGATGGAATTTCTGAACTCGACGAACAGCGTGAAGCCGTCGAACGAGATGGCGCGACCCGCATACCGCTTATCCGTGATGTGCGCTCGTTCGCGCTATTGAGGCAGTGGAATTGTCAACAGCACCACCCACCGCCTCGAGGTCGCGACATGCGACGTGGTGTCCGAATCACACGCGAAAACCTGCACATGTCGTACAGAAGGCGAGACCGACATCCACGCCTATCCCTCCATCTTCGAGACAAACGCCACAACCCATGTATGGCTGCGCATTCACCCTCCGGGCTCTTCCGCCTCGCACCGCTGGCACCTCCCCGGTCAGCTATCGGAACACATGGACAAGTGTCAACATTGAGTTGGATGATGTAGTTGGACAGCATAATTTGGGTGTGCCGAGATGCTGCTAGATGGGTGAGATAGCACAAACTTGCTCCCACAAGAACGGCGATGAGGAGGTCGGGGTAATTGCGACGGCATTAGTGCTGACCAGGCAGGTCGATGTCGCGCAATTTAATGGGCATGCAGAGATGCAGTCAAACAAAGGCTTGAGGAAGGATGAATTAGCCGCGCTGAGTGTTGAAGCGCGTGTTGAGGTCCATCGCGGTTTCCTGTCACGCGAAGTCGCGTGATGCCGCGTTTGTGGGAAGGCGCGACCCACCCTCGGCAACACCACAACAGAAATCAGACGACCGGCAAGTGCTATGGGATAAACAATCAAGCAAAATGCATTATTGCTGCAAGAACTCCGAAAGTCGCCGCAGCATTGTGGGCGTATCACAGCGCTAGTGCTGACGATCTGGCGACTCACGATGCATCTGCTCATAGATAACAAGAGATGACTAAGACACCGATGAGCGAGCTCAAGAGGGGTAGAGAGCTCGTTTGTGGGACACCGCATCTATCGGAAGAAGCTCTAGTATGCGACATGTCACAAGTACCTCGCGACACCATACCACAGGCCCACCGCGACAGCCACAGCAGACGCGCCCAGCGCAGTAAAACTGCCTCCTTGGAGCGAGACTCTGGACCCCGAAGACGTGAAGGCGTCCCAATCCGCGTACGCCGGGAACATACACTTCAACGTAAAATCTGTTTGCGAGCGACTACAGATCGTGTTAGTACCGCGCATCTGTTGGCAAAACTTGGCCCGGAGACGGAAGACTTACGGATACATGGTCGAATTGTAACCCTCCTCATCCATATACCAACTCCGACAACCCACAAAAACGGTCTTTTCCAGATCTTTCTTCACACCCTTGGTCCACGCCGTGACGGCCTGTTTCTTCACCTCGACGCGGTCGACCTTGCCGCTCAGGATTGGTTTGATCATCTTGAGAATATACGAGACCGTATTTTCGCTCGTGAGGATGAGTGAGTGATGGCCATTCGCCGTGTTCGGTCCGACCGCGATGAAGAAATTCGGGAACCCATCGACGGCCATTCCCATGTATGCAGCCGGGCCTCCACGCTGCTTCCATACTTCTTGCAAGGCTGCTCCGTCGCGACCGTAGACTGAAAGTGGGTGCAACCAGCGGGTCGCCTCGAAGCCGTTGGCGAGTATGATGACATCGGCGTTGATGCGCTGTTGGCCGGATGTAGCCTTCCCATCGGCACCCAAAACGAGCTCTTTGCCATCCACAGCTTGGATAGGACGATTGGTAAGCGTAAACTTGGAATTCTGCATGCTGGGCAACCACTCAGTATCGAAGACGCGTCTCTTACATCCATACGGATAGTCTGGCGTCATGATATCATGGTACTTTTCCGGCACGATTTCCTTCATCATAGCCAACTGTTGTGTTTCGATCGCAGCCCGCCACTTCTTGTGTTTCATTTGGAACACGGTTGACCAAATGACTTCCACCAGCAGATATATCAGGACGCGGTTTACATACCCGAGGAATGCAAGCCACTTGTAGACCGTGGGTGCGTATTTGGCGTATTTTTCTTGGCCGAAAGGCTCGGAAAGTCGAGGCATTACCCAGGGTGCTGATCGGCCGATTTGAGTGAGTGTTTTAACTTTATAGGGTTCCTTGAGTAGCGACGGGACTATCTGCGCGGCGCTGCAGCCGGTTCCGAGTACTACTACGTCTTTTCCGTTGAGATCAATGTCGTCGCGCCAGCGTGCAGAGTGAAAGACGTCGCCTTTGATATCGCGCCATGGAATGGACGATGGCCATGGGTTCGGCTCTACAAGGATTCCCACACAACTTATCACTGCTTTGGCGCGCACGACTTCTTCATGCAGGTATACGGACTCGCGACCAGAAGCGGTTGCTTTGTCTTCTCGATCTCGGGTACTAAGATCGCCGGTACCAGGAACCAAGTGCTGGAGTGTTACTTCCCATTGCGCGTCGGCCTCAATCCAGCGGAGTTCCTTTACGTCGGTGTTCAGCTGGATGTGAGAGGCCAGTTGATACTTTTCCGAGATCTCGTTGAGATACTCGCGGAATTCTTCGCCGGTGGGATACAAGCGTTTCGAAACGTAGTTTGGTGCGAAGGAGAAAGAGTATAGGGAAGTAGGCCTTGTAATGTTCAATAATCGTCCTTTTCAGCCTGCACAATATCGCTTACACGTCGCATTGCTTCGTTACAGTCAGTGTTGTTTCCGATTATCCTGCATGATAAGACTTACTACTCCTGGGTACCGGTTGATCCACCATGTCCCTACCACCGATCATCAATCAAGGCAATCATGAGATCGCTCTTTTGACTCACCTCCAATACCAGACTGGCGATCGACAATCTTGAATTCTTTCAATCCGAGCTTTTGCCTCAGTTGACTTCCAGCCGCAATACCTGTTGCACCCGCTCCGATGATCAAGACGGGATAATAAGTTATTTTGCGTTTCTTCACGTTGTTCGGGCTCGTCATATTAGATACTGAGACAAGAAGCACAATACAAGAAAGACATCAATCAAGAACTCGTGTATCTATGTGCGCGACTGCTAACACACGGATTTGAAAGCAGGGCGTTGGGCGCCTGATGCCGGTGGTAGATTAGCCGCAGGCGTAAATCCATGCTGCAACCTAACTGCTCGTTCCCTCGTTTGATTGGTCATATACACGGGCGCATACACCTTGGGGCATAGGATCGTGTTCCTGCAGGATCAAGTTTCTGACGAGACGGGACGAATGCGCCGTTCGGCGTCCGTGGATTGCGTGGCTTGATTGCGTGGGGAATCTCATCGTTAACAGCATCGTGAATTTAATCCTAACTAGGGACATGTGTCAACCTAGCACTTCCATATCACTATGCAAGGGTCCATCCAGAATACCCTCGCAATGCCCAACCAATAATGCCGACATCGTGAGACAAGCTACCAAACCGCGAGTAACGCCACCAAGAACATGCGAAAACTACGTTCACTTCCCACCAAAAATCCTTTTGATATCTGCAAACTTGACAGGCTTGACAAGGTACATGTCCACACCTGCCTCTTGCGCATCCTGTTGATCCTGCGCACTCGCGAGTCCAGTCAATGCGACGATATGCGATTTCGGCAAGCCGTTCTTGCTCTCGAATTGGCGGATATTACGTGTACTTGTCAGACCGTCCATGACGGGCATACTCAGATCCATGAGTATAAAGTCGAAAGGGCGGGCTGGCGGCGAAGAAGACATGGCTTCTGATTTGTACGTTTCGAATGCTTCGAGACCATTGGTAGCTTCCACGTAGCGTAGATTCTGCCGTTTGGCGAACACGACGAGGAGCTTCAGATTGATGGCATTGTCGTCTACGAGGAGGACACGTGGATTGAAGTATTCACCGCCTTCGCTGTGGGTGGGACTCAGAGGGGTGGTGGTTATTGGGAAGGGACGCGGTGGCGGCGGGGAAGGGTATCCGGCGGCCTCGTCAGCCTTTCGCGTTGATACATCTTGTGGGAACATGTCACTGAGACTTCGCTGAGCCGAGGCACGAGGCGGTGCAAGAGACTGAAGGTCGGGCTGGACTAATGAGGAGCTCATCGATCGGCTGATGTGTCGCTCGTTGTTGTGTTGTGAGGCGCGGTTCTGGCATGATAGAAGTGTCCGAGCGAGCTTTCGAGGTCCGCAGCTGTGCGTGTCGTCAGTAAATTGGTCTCAGACTTGCGCAAGGAATACTCACGGCTGTGTAACTATTTCAATGATCCAGCCAAGCGCTTCGATTTGTCTCGCAAGCTGAGTCTCTGCTGCTACTTTCTCTGCAGTGTCTGTACAAACGCAAACTACTCCTAGCGGTGATGTGTTATTGCGACTGGCATTCGAGTTCTGCATCAATTGGTAGAGAGAAGGCGAGTCGATGAGCAGAAAGTCGATGTCGGTGACCGAGATGTCAGTGCTGGCGTGCTTCGAGGCGACGATCTTCATGTCAAAGTTCTTGCAAGCGTTTTCCATGGACTCCTTGGTTTTTAGCCCCCGCTCGCCACCTTGCGTGTTAGTCATGTCGCAAACGATGGAGACAGATGTGTCCTTCAGCTCTTGGGGTGCTCTGACAAGAGCATGATCTTGGTGGGCATTCGCCTTGGAGCCAATGGGTAGACGTATGCTGATCTTGATGACAGTACCAACGTTATGCGTGCTCCTTACTTCAATCTCGCCTTTCAGGGATTCTATGATCTGCTTGACGATCGAGAGACCCAATCCGGTACCGGAGCTGAAAGGGTCTTCTTGACTGAATGGCGAAAATAACTTTGTCCGCTGGTACTCCTGCGACATTCCCCGACCGGAGTCTTCCACACTAAGAGATAGGTCCATGAAGTTGGCGGAGCTTTTTTGCTGTATCATGTTGATAGCAATATAGCCAGAGTCGGTGTATTTGAGCGCGTTCCCAAGTAAATTCATCACAATGCGTCGCAGAGCACCGGGCTGCGATCTCACGATCCAACTGACGTATGGGGCTACGATCAAAGACACAGCAACAGAGCCATGTGTATCTCTGCCTGCCACTTCGTTGCTGCTATTCGTGTCCTGGAGGAACGTTGTTGCCGCCTTGCTCTCAGCTTGATCGTAGATTGCGGCTCCTTTGATGTGATGTGTCTTCCTGAACGTGTGACCAGCACACACAGTGTCGCAAACTTCCTCAACTAGTTGTGCTAGATCGAAGTCGGACGTAACACCAAGAATCGAATTATCAGAAGGCTGTCGCTTGTTTCGCCCCAGGCTTCGCTTGTTCTGACCAGAGACTTTCTGTAATTTGTTGATTTTTGCGTAATCAAGCACGTGATCTATCGTATCGAGCAGTGTCTTGCCGCAAGTTTCGATAGAAGACACCAAAGACTCTTGGTACGCCGATGCCACCGTCTCGCGTAAGAACTCGACAGATCCAAGGATACCATGCAGGGGCGAACGCAGCTCGTGTGATATAGACGCGATGAATGTGGTTTTGGCACGATCCGCTTTCTGCGCATTGAGTCGTGCTACTTCGCTGGTCACTGAGTTCCCGAATGCTTGGAGATATGGGAGCTCGTTATCCGGGCTCATCAACCTTCCGGCTTGTGTGGTCCAGATAAAGCCACCAGCAATCCATCGTTCCGTAGCCGGGCACCAGAGTGGCAGGAAGATAAGGCTCCTAACCTTTGGCAGAACTTTGAGGAACTCGGTTGGGATGAATCTTTCTCGCTTTTTGCGCGCCTTCTTGGTGTTGGCGGCGGGTTCGTCGACTGTACGATCGGACTGTTCTGTCTCGGAACGTTCAGACTTCTCATCAGAAGAGTTGATGCCCATGCCATCCTCGTTGTAGTTGAAGAACTTCCCGTACGGATATCGATGGATATAGCGCTCCATGGCAGCTTCATTGAAGCTGAAGTCTGTGTGCACTAGGGCCGCATTGCCTTCACGTAAAGATAGTCCGACCACAGGACAGGCCTTGCTGTCAGTCCCATTTGCATCGGATACGCCATCCGCGGCGACGACTGTCTGTTTCTTGAGCCTTCGTGAAGCCGTCGAATCGCCGGTATCAGTGTTATGTGTCGCACTCTCATCGCTACTGCCGGCTGCGCGATTGTAGTCGTAGAGATGGGTTCTTATCCCAGCGGTCGAAGTGTCGAAGAAGACGACACCATCGGCTTCAGTACTCTCGCGAATTATACGAGCGGCGCTGTGGAAGATACGAGCTGCGTCGGATTCGGCGTCACGCTTGCGGTGAGCTTGTCTGGCAGGTACAGACGTGTTGTGGCCTTCTTCTTCGTCAAGGGCTAGTAAGCGCGCGTTCTCGGTCTGCTTCTCCATAGTGGTGGGCCGGTTGCCGTCTTCTCGGCTGTCCTGTAAAGAAGAGCGCTCGATGAACTGAGTCAAGCCGCGTACCATGCGCTCACCCTTGTTGCGGTCCATGCTGTCTTTGGCCAGCTCGAGGTGCTCCATGACGGCGGCGGAGACATCTTGCATGAAGCGCAGTTCGCCAGCACTGATTCCATCGCGAGGCTTTTCATCAGAAACAGCATAGACGCCAATGCGATGGCCTGCTTTGGTAATGATGGGGACGCCTGCGTAGAACCTCACACCAGGCTCACCCTTAACATAGTCCCTATCGGCGAATCTTGCGTCTAGTCTGCAATCAGGTATGACCATGCATTCGCCAGTGTAGGTGCTCCCATCGTCCTCTTTTGCCGTGTAGGTCGAGGAGAAGGTATGGTAACAGACAGCATCGGTCTTGGTCAAGATGGCGTTGCCCAGCCAGACCTCGTCTTCGGGCTCTTCGGCGACAGGCTTGAACAGCGAGAGAGTTCGCGTGGCCTCGGCAAGAATGTACTGGTGGTGCGCGTCGATCAGCGATACCATTGCCCGCCGGGTATCGAGTCGAAGCGTGGCGAGCTGCGCAAAGGCAGTCAGTGATCGATCGCGCGACGTCTGGGGCTGGAAGCCAGAGTAGGTCAGGCCTTTACCAGAACCGTCGGCAGCGTCAACCAGGCTCTGTGCATCGAGCCATGGGCGGTAGTACCTGTAAGCATCCTTAGCTGCAGCCGAAGCGTTTCTATCGCATAACCCAAACCTGTGGAGATCGCGCTCGCGGGCTGCTTCTGGCCACGAGTAGCCCATGGTTCTAGTATGTTCGTGGGGGATTCAGCATGTCCTTCTAGTAGCACAACATAGCAGAGTATCAGTCCCAAGGCAGAGGCACAACGGTGGGGGGTTTGCGACTGGCGGCAGCGAGGGTGCTGGCTCCTCTTGCAGGCGAGTGGCTGCCGCTGTCGTCCATTTTGAGTGGCATAGTAACTACATCGGTGCTAGGCGGCGGATATCCTGCTCCGCGGGCCATTCCAAGGCAATTGCATTTCTTTTGGCATGGGGGGAAACGAAGAATCCGATCGAGATGCGCCCGTGGTTATTGCCAGGTGACGAAGCGATCGTGCAGTTCCGCTAGTCACCTGTCTAGCCAAATGCCGATCTCCCGCTACGCAACCGATGTCCAGGCACGAAACTTTCAGAACAGCAACTTCTGCGACGTCCATACGACAACGCCATGTTTGAAGTGCCGGATGCGAAGCGGTGGGTCGACTCGCTAGTGCGCCTGTTATCTGCATACTGACCTTGCCAAGGGTTCGCCGCGATGAGCTGGAGTCGCCCATATCGTCTAGACAATCCTCGCCCGACCCCGATCTCGAAGAGCTGCTGCGATCCAAGATAAACTCCGAGTTTACCTATACCACGACCGAAGATGATGTCCACGACATCGCGCAAAGCGACCAAGACGAGACGGAGCTGCGGCTCTTCGCTGCGCCCGCAAACGCTGCTCCACAATCGCTGAAGATTAGAATTTCATCGCCAGGCGCCGATAGCGGAGAACCAGGACTGATTCTGAAGAAGCCACGGAGCTATTATTTCGCCGACGAGCCCACAAGCGAGGAGGAAGACGCCTTCAGAGCGGCCGCCATCGAGGGAAGGAGCGTCCTGGAGCTGTCGCGGCAGCCATGGCCCGGTTGCGCCCTGCCATGGAAGGTGCGCACCATATCGCCGGCCGGCATGAGCAAGGAGGTCCTGGTCGGTCACCCTCCTATGCTCGTCACGGTTGAGGATAAGGCGCACAAGCGCACAAGAAAGGGCAAGAAGTCACGCATAGCGATACGGAAGAAGCTCCAGGCGGTAAAAGAGAAGCAGAGTGAGGCAGCACGTCTTGCGCAAGAGAAGGAAGAAGCCAAGCGTGAGAAGAACACTCGGAGAAATCGAGAGAAGAAGCTCAAGAAGAAGGCGAAGGAGCAAGCGAAGAAGGCAGCTGATGGAGCCACAGACGGGGCAGCAGAGACTATGGATGGTGTGGTGGAAGACACTGTGACCGAGACTCAACCTGTTGCTGATCAGTCGATATGAGGCGCATCACTGCAAATTTGTTATCTCATCGGCGTTACGAACAAGACTGGCATCAGACGCATGACTCCTACGGTTGCAAGTAATACTTGCTCGGTCATAGGCACCCTTCACCTGTGCCATGAGGCTACCTTTACCCATGCCGATTCTACGCTAGCAAATACCTCTATTTGTCGACTATAACTGCTTCGTTTTGGTCTACCTGTTTCCACCAACTTACACTCTACGACTCACTCAACTGCCAACATGGACCAGAACTACAACCAAGAGCATATGAACTTTGACAGCGCTTCTGGTGTCGGCCCGCAATACGCCCCGGTATATCCTTATCTCCAGGAGAGGTTCGGACCATCCACACCACAACACATAGACGAGACCTCAGCTCCGCATTACGGCTTTCATAACCACGGCACAAATGGCTACGACACGTTCATGTCTGATGTAATGCCGCCTGGTGCTCACTACGACGGGTACCATAGACCTATGACACCAGAGAGCACACCACATCCTATCGAATCGAACGATGCCCAGTTCCATGTTGCAGTTGAAGAACCGCACCAGTATACTGCGGATATGCAAGAGGAAGAGCCAGAGTTGCCCCCAGACTTCTGGAAGACTCTGGTTGATTTCGAGATCCCCGACTTTACCCAGACTTCTATCAGCAACATACCCGGTATTCAAGCCTTATACGTCGCCTACATGGACTGCTATGTACCGCTGTCAACTGCGGCAAACGCAACTCGCATGCAGTACGCCAAAGCGCTCGCCTTTGCTCTCCTCACGCACTATTATCCCCCGTCACATAATTACACGGTGGTACCCACTTCCCCTGGACCCGTGGCAAAGTACGGGATGAACTTCATCTTAGCTGCCGACGATAAGTCAGATGTCTGGAAAGAGTTCCACAGGAACAAAGGCAGGGCCTTTCGCCGCAAGGTACCGACCAAAAAGGAGCTCGAGAGGGCGGAGAAAGAAGAGCAAGACGCCAAGGTAGCAGAGTACGCCCAAGGTATTACGCAACTCTTCAACCTGCAGTGGGATCATATCGCGCCTGAGGATATCGCCGCTTTCGTGGTCATGCGCAAGACGATAGCAACGAATACTGAGACTGGTGCGGTCACGCACGAGCAGCATCCGTACACTTACTTCGCCATCATGATTGACAACTTCGACGAAGTCCCTCGCCTCTCCACGAGCAACACCATGCACCGCAGCGACGTTCTCACCGATGCCCTGTGTCGAGGCGGCAACATCCAGAACGGTCACGGCATGTTGCTGTACGGTCCGCGTCTAGAGTTCTACGCCTTTGATCGCGGAAATGAATGGGTCTATCTTGACGACGAAGAAGGAAGCGACCAGGGAACTCAGGATATCGAACCTAAGATGGAATTGCTGTCGTCGGGTGGTCAAGGTCTGGAGATGGATCTGCGCACTACCGGTCTGGACATGGTAGACGTAACGTTTCGAGACGTCGCTATGAGAGAGGTGGTTTACGCGGCTGGGCCAGATGCTAGTGTGACTAAGGATGCAGGTTCAGCACAAGGGGAGGACGAGATGGAGGACTACTAGAGACAATCTAGCGAATTGGAAGGCGAAAAGCGCGTGCATAGGTCCATTGCTGGCAAGCACTTTCCTGGCGATAGATAAAACGTCTACTTTGATAAGACAAGTGTACTTGATTTCTGCTCGTTCTTCGCCTTACTTGAAGTGTGACGGGCTTTAGACGACCCGCCAACGGTCGCTAGCCATGTCCCACTTGCGCGGACACAACTCCAATGCCTGCCATAACGTGGTCTACGGGAGCGTCCGCCCGCTAGCTGATATGCCTGTCATACTACTAATGTAGCGAAGGACCGACTGAAAGTGTTGAGATACGGATAAGTTTTGATTGTAGTAGGTTGCCTGATAATGTATCTCAACTTCACTTTATGCAACAAGTCATATATCCAGACAGGGGCCATTCCTGGGCACCCTGCAACCCTCCTTCGCCCCACCATCGATCCAATCCATCTTCTGAGCAGCCTCCTTTACAATCGCCCTAACTTCCTCAGTCAATCCCTTCATCTCAGCAAGTTCTCCAAACCTCTTCTTCCAAAGCGCCCACCTCTGCTTACTAAACTCCGCTCTACCATCCCATAACGGTCCACCACTACCTGGATCCCCCTCAGTCGCCCTCTTTGGGGTGAGGTCTTGTTGTCTTTCGTAGACTTGTTTGCCCATAGCAAAGATCCAGACCGCAGCGGAGGGGATGAAAGAATTGTATTTCTGTATTGCTGTGCCATTCGCATCGTCTTCGTGTAGTGTCTCGAGTGCATTGCGCATTTCCCAGATGCAATATATCCAAAAATTGCGGAGGTTCTCGCGCGTGATGAGAGCGTAGAAGTAGAGCATGTTGGCGTATGCGTGTACTTCTTGCAACATGTAGCCACACTGGCCTCCGGGGCCGTCGTCTATACTCTCGCGTGCGGCCATGCCGAAGCGGCGGAGGCAGGTGTACATGTCTGAATCTTTGGCAGTTGGGGGTGGAAAGCTCGCTTTTATCGTCTTCATGAGGGTGACAAGCTTGTTGAGACCGTTGGTGTCGCGGAAAGAGAGGCGTTTGGCGGAGTGGATTATGGAGTACCAGATACTAAAGAAGGGGAGGTGCTTTCTGTTCTGGAGGATGGCTTTGTTGATGGGGTCGAGCAGTTTCTTCGTAGCGTCTTTTGCATTGGTATTGTTGTTTAAGTAGTCTTGTATGATTGCGTAGAATTGATTGTCTTCGCTCGGTCCAAAGCATCCTCGCTTCTTCATGATAATGCCGATTTGGGTGGCTTCATCTTGAACGTTGGCGATGGCCTCGGCAATCTCGCGGTTTTTCCTTTCTCTTCGTTCTTCCCAAGACATCTTCTTCGATGATAACTCCATGGTTAGGAAGCGTTACCGGTAAGAACGTGGTGTTTTATGTTCGCATATAATTTCAAAGTTGAAGTACGCCCTTCAGCCCTTCAGGCTGCCATCTCCAAGCGCTAGTTTGTGACAACATGCATGCTTGCGCACGTAGTGGAGATCTGCCATAGGCGTTCTTGAATGCTGCTCCGCTATTCGCGTCAGTCTTGTCCTAAATTACTGGAATAAGCAGGCTATGGAAATGTCAGGGTATGGCTGGTAGAGTAGCGCATAAGTCTCGAGGAGCTTCAGAACATATTTTCCAATCAGTGCCCCGTCACGAATGGCAGCATAGACTCGCGGTGTTTCAAGATTCAGGACGTGCCTGGACGTGCTGCTTTACATGAAGCGGTCGGGCGACGCGCCCGATTCCAACTTTTGGAACGAGGTGTGCAAAGATGTGTACAGCGAACGAGGGCCGCTTCGGGTGATCTATCGGCTCAAGGAAATTTGCGCATATTGGCATGAACTGGTTGGATCATGAATAGTGGAAGGGAAGTCATGGTTTGGGGTGAAGAAACGCTGAAGTGTGGTGTTGGTAACCAGGGTCTTGCTCCCAAACGCCCAGTAAATTGGAAACAGCGACCCGGGCGCGAGCCGACTGCCTCGCACCACCACTAATCTCCAACACCGACACGACGGCATAAAGTGTCCAGCACGCGCATCGGCCGCCCGCACCCTCGAACGGCGATCGCACACACAATCATGTCGTCCTACCTAAACAACCTCCTTACGAACACGACTTCGCGCTACAACAACCTGCGACGACAGATCCTCTCGGACGAAGCAGACGGCGACACAGAAGATGACTCGCATCTTTCCAGAGTTCTTCGCGCATACTACACGGAGAAAGGACGGCCGTTTCCGCAATGGCTCCCGCCCGATCCAAAGGCACCGCAGCCTGCGCCCGCCCAGTTCGTGTCTTCGCGACAACAGGCACAAGCACAAACAGCGGGCCGAGGAGGAGGCTTGAACGATCTGTGGGATAATCCCGCGCCACAACAACCACCGCAAGAACCACAGTCACTTCGCCGAGGGCCAGGAGCACGGGGCGGTGGAGCGCGTCCCATGCAAGGCCGGCCCATGGGCAACTCATTGACGCCAGACCCTCAGATACAAGGCAGACCACTGCCCAGCCAACGAGCAGGAAGCTACCAAAGCTCATTGGGAGGACGCCCACCAGCAGAAGCTTCACCACCACCGAGCGCGGGTACAGGGTCGGGCACAACAGCACAGGAAAGGCTCAAGGCCCGGTTATGGGGACGGTCACAGAGCCCAGCACCGCGTGGACTTTCTTCAGAATCTGCCAACTCGCAATCGTCCCCGCAAGGTGGACGGGCGCCCTACCCTGAAGATCGGAGTCACAGCTATGGAAGTACTGGTAGCGGCGGCGGGAGACCACAGGGCTCATTTGGCATGTCGTCGAACTCCCCATGGAGTGGGAACGATGATCCGTATGCGCCCCAAGGTGGAGGGTATGGTGGCGGCGCACCTCCACCACAACGCGGACCTCAAGGTGGACGTATGGGCCTGCCAAGCGGACCACGCATGCGTTGAGCTTGTTATTGTTGCATGCAGCACGGCGTAACGGAGTTGGATCTTGGTCGTCACTGGGTGGGAAGCATGGGGTTTGTAGACCTGGCCACATAGACGAATACCTAATCAATACATTCAGCTCATAATCGCTTCAAAGCATACTTTCGTTCGGAGCTATCTTGCGCAGAGTGTCGCGGCTAGAGCACATTACTCGATGCGATAGGAGCGACGCGTTCCCCGCGAATGGCGCGGGCGGGTTGCACCGCCACACCTGGGCTGCGTCATCCGGGTGTAGGTCACTGCCCGCGCAAGCATCACCTGCAACTGCATAGCGCCAAACGGGTACGCGCCTCTTTCTTGCTTTACCACCGTACTACTTGATATATCTCCAGCGCATGATATCTGGCCATCTTACTCGGAACCCATCACCAGCCTCCACTCCGCGTCTTTGGGACGCCGCCTAGCCCCGCATGACTTCGTCGGCCCCAGCGCCCCCATCGCCCTCGGCCAGCTTCTACGACCTCAGCGACGATGAAGAAGGCGAATACAACACGATCCGCCATACAAGCAGCGGAAAGGGTGTGAAGCTACTATACACCAAGAGCAAGGTACGTAAAGCCTATCCAACGCAGCATGATGGAAGTAGGCTAACATGTGCAGGTCTACGTGCATCCCTCGCCTTCCTCCAAAGACAACATCCCAGGCTTCGTCGCTCTCGTCCAGCAGAAGTCTAACCGAACCGTTAACGATGCGCGTCCAACCTCCTCCTCCTCCGCTCGCAGCGTGAACGCGTCATCGCTGCTCCTCGCCTGGATACCAGAGTCAAACCTCGGCGATGCATATGATACATACGTCAAGGTCGATCTGTCAGACTCCTCGTCACCTCCGAGACAGTCATACCTCGTACCTCCACCTCCCACACCATCTACACATGCCGGAACTCCCGGGTATGCATTCGCCCTGCCTGTCAGCGAGATATACTCCGTCCTCATACGGCCACCAAGCATCGGATGGTGGTTCGGAAGCGTCGTCATCAATACTAGGGCTGGAGACAGTTTTCCTGCGCTCTTCTTCCACGATAGCGAGTGCCAGTCTACCATAATGCAGCGGAAGAAGCTGGCCAAGGAAAGCTTTGATCCGTTTGGCGACGGAGGCGGCATGTTCTGGGGCGGCGACGAGGTGCTGAGATGGCTCAAGAGATACGTCACAGTCGAACGATCCGGTGCTGATCCAAGCATATACCTTATCGACCCCTCGGAAGACGACAAGCGATCCTTTGGCAAAGACGTTGCACCAAGGAAGAGCACCGAAGGCAAACCAGACGCGTCATCTTCGCAATCTGGCAAACGGGATGGTGGAATGGATCCGGTCACAAAGGCGCTCAAGGAAGCAAGATGGAACTTCCTCGAGAAGCTTAGTCAGGTCACCACTTTCACGCGAAGGACTGCTCAAGCCGTCGCAGACAACCCCAAGATTCCGCCTCAGGTTAGACGCCTGATTCAGAACCCAGAGGTCCAGACACTACAAGAAGAGTTCGACAGCGCACGGTTATACCTCGCAAGATGGGCTATGGGCATTGCAGAACAAAGCGAGCGGGAGCGAAATCAGCGGATATGGACAGCAAAGGACGTCTTGGCTATGGAGGAGAGCGATGTCGGCGACTTCGAGATCCTTGACATGGATAAGATGACCATGGCCGACCGAAGAAAACCTGTCACGTTGGAAGAATGGAAGGGATTCTTCGACCCCAAGGGACGGCTGCAACTCACACCAGACGAAGTCAAAGACCGCGTTTTCCATGGAGGTCTAGATCCTGACGATGGTGTACGAAAGGAAGCATGGCTGTTCCTTCTCGGGGTCTACGACTGGGACAGCTCCGACGAAGAGCGTCGCGCGAACATTAACAGTAGGCGCGATGAGTACATTCGGCTCAAGGGCGCATGGTGGGAGCGAATGGTCGAAGGGAACCAGAATGAAGAGCAAGAGGAATGGTGGAGAGAACAGAAGAACAGAATAGGTATGTATCCTTGCGCGTTATGCCCTTGCTTGAAAACTGGCTGACTTGTCCCATTCTATGGGGTCCGTTGTGTAGAGAAAGACGTACATCGCACAGATCGCAATATCCCCATTTTCGCCGGCGAAGACATTCCCCACCCTGACCCTGACTCGCCTTTTGCGGAAACTGGCACCAACGTTCACTTGGAGCAGATGAAAGACATGCTTCTTACGTACAACGAATACAACAAGGATCTTGGCTACGTTCAGGGCATGAGCGATCTGCTCGCGCCCATCTACGCTGTCATGCAGGATGATGCCGTCGCATTCTGGGGCTTTGTTGGATTCATGGAGCGCATGGTACGTACAGTTTCCATGGCTATTGTAATCGTTTACAGGGCTGACATGCAAACAGGAGCGCAACTTCCTACGCGACCAGTCCGGCATGCGCAAGCAGCTCACGACGCTCGACCACCTCGTACAGCTCATGGACCCCAAGCTATATCTTCACCTTCAATCCGCTGAGTCTACGAACTTCTTCTTTTTCTTCCGGATGCTGCTCGTCTGGTACAAGCGCGAATTCGAGTGGCCAGATGTACTTCGGTTGTGGGAGTCGCTCTGGACAGACTACCAGAGCAGCAACTTTCACATCTTCATTGCACTAGCCATTCTGGAAAAGCACCGAGATGTGATTATGGCACACCTGAAGCACTTTGACGAGGTGCTCAAATATGGTAAGCTATGCAACCAAACCAGCCCAGATTGACAGTGAATGGTACTAACGCTACTCCAGTCAACGAGCTCTCTGGTACTATGGATCTCGAATCAACGCTCGTTCGCGCGGAGTCGCTCTTCAAGAGGTTCCAGCGAACGGTAGAAACAATCGACAAGAAAGGTAACTTTCCCTCCGCCCCGCAAGCCCGACAACGCAAGTTGGCTGCTGCAATCGTCGCCGGCCCCGGGCCAAGTACGTTCTCAAGTGCGTCACCAGCGAAAGACCAAGCGTCGACTTCCGGCACAGATAAGGGCAAGCAGGTTGGTGAAGAGGAGCAAGATGAGGCGAGGGTCATCAGTCCTGAGCTACGTGCACTGCTAAGCAGGAAAGTGGAGAAGCTCGACAAGCAGACTATCTTGGAGCATGGCGGTGGTGTTGGCAAGTAAAGTCGGCACATGTCTCATTTTGTTTAATTGTTCATTGGGGGCGGCGTTATGGCACATCTGGATACTTGTGCGGGTATATCACGACTGCTCGAACCCAATGAGACCCCGGTGGTAAGGTCAGGTACACGTGCGATTTTCGAATCGCATCTTCATATTTATCTTGCATATTGTTCCTCACCTCACGCCTTGGCCGAACATCGAACTTCTTGTCGCTTCACCGTTAGCCACGCGCAAGGCGTATGCTTCACTACTTTCGCTGTCATCCTCGTTTTGCACTGCAAACAATCAATGTAAGCGTCCGCCTTTGCGCTCACGTGTCTATCTTGCAGGTCCATCTTCACAGAGAGTTTGACTCCTTCACATGTGGATGTGAACATGAACAAACTACCAACCGTCACCTTTCGCCATGTTAAAAAAGACGAGTACAACAACAGCAGGCCTTCAATGAACTATATCAACCGCTTCATCGATCGCTACTCTCCGACCCATCCGCCGCGCAACACTTCGCATCCCGCGCAGCCTCCCAACAGTCCCGCCACCTCTCCCCATCGTCACAAATCTCAGTCACACTCTCACCATCGGCGCAAACATCACCATCGCGAGAAGATGACATCCTTCAACGGCCCTTGGTCAGGCGATCTCGACGCGTTTAAGAAGTCGGTGCAGTCGATGCCAGATCAGTACAAGTCGTCCTTCGCTGCCGCTTCCAAGAGCACTCTCGAAAAGGTCTGCGACCCAGGTGTCCTTCACATCTGGGAGACCGACTCCGATATCGACAGCCTTCTCCAACTCACGTCGGTCATCGCCAAGCTGTGCGACCTCGGCGTGCGCAAGAATAAGGGCGCGAACGAAAGTGATGGCAGTATGCTGATCATTGCTGAAGAGAGTCGAAGTAGGAACAACTTCGGTCGCATCTGCCAGTTGGTTGAGTATCTGACTGGAGCTGGTGGCAAGAAGCATCTCGAAGGCACCGTGGCGGTGTTCAGCAAGATTGTCATAGTGAGGGGATGGGATAACGGCGTTCTATCTGGACAGCAGGAGGCGCTCGAGAAGACAGTGAAGAGAGTCAACACGGCTGTCGAGCAAGTACTGAAGATGGGCGGATTGCAGAAGATAGTCTGGCATCACGGCGCTGTACTGCACTTCCTGCTACAGTGGATCAACATGACAACATCTCCTCTACGATCCGCTTTATCTGCAATCACCGTCACGGGATCCCTCAACCTCGCAGACGGAATAGCACCTTCGGTATCTGGACGAGCGAACAAACTGCCAGATCTCGAGCGCCTGGAACAGTTCGCGAAGAAATTAGACATACCCATTGTCTTCCTCGATGCACCTAGTCAGTTGCTTAACTTCGAGTATCTCGGTACGTATGTGTACTACTACGCTTACTACATCAACACGTTCCTTCCTACCTCGCTGTCGCGACCTCACCTCCACAAAGCGCAAGATGAGCTCGTTACCTTTGCATTCCGACTCCGCGCTGCGAGTGAAGGCAGGTACGGCAGTGACGCAGTAAAGATGGTGCAGAAGCATCTCGATGCGAGCAAGGCGAAACACTGGGCAAGGATGTGCGTGAGCAAAGACAACTACGAGAAGAGCAAGTGTCGTGCAGCCGGCAAAGACGAAACCATACACCACGCTGTTCAGCTAGCAGATAGCCCATTCGCCCTTCTAGCCCACGGCGCGGGAGTACCTGCATTTGCCAGGCTAGCAGTCGGACCCGCCTCTGCTTCCGCACAAGATAATTACACCGCAGCGCCCGTCAATATCGCCTTCACTAAGTCGCAAATCCGACCCACCAGCCCAGCGACCTTCCACATCCTCATCCCACAGTCATCCCAGGATCTCGAAAAAGTCAC